ACTGCGTTCCTCCGTCTGTTGTCACGAGGTCTGGTATCCCCAAGCGGGAAAACAGGCGCTTCAGACGCTCGATGACTGCGCTGCTGGTGAGACTCGGGAGGCGTTGTATCTCCAGATACCTGCTGAAGATGTCCACCGTGACGAGCCAGTTGCAGTTGTTGAAGTGGAAGACGTCTGCTGCAACGTGCGTCCACGGTCTTGATGGCGTTGGGGTTGTCACCAGTGGCTCAGCGTGCTGGGCTGGCGCGTTCACCTGACAGAACGAGCAGCTCTCGAGATGACGCTTTAGGTCGATGCTGAGTTGAGGCCACCAGATCGATTCTGCTGCCCTCTGGCGACACTTGTTCAGACCGAAGTGTCCGTCATCATGTAGTCGGGTGAGCATTTCATCTCGCAGACTCGGAGGGATGACGATGCGTCGCCCGTGCATCAGCAGTGTACCACACGTTAGGTACAGAACGCTCATCTCTCCCCGAGAGGCGAAGTAGTCCAGCAGGTCGGGATGCTTCGCTCCCTCCTTCCAGCCAGAGAGAGTCTGCTGAACTACGCGTTGTAGGGGTTCGTCTGCTTGCTGAGCCTTGCTGATCTCCACCAGACGCTGTGGTGTGGCGGGAAGATCGCTGAAGATTCTCTCGCAGAATCCATGCATGTCTTCTTGAAGCACAGCGCTGATTTCATCCTGCTTCTGGAGCGGGTGACGTGAGAGGAAGTCGGGCACCAGGTGCTGCTTCCCTGGAACGAAGACCGCTGTGGGGCTGTATCGCATCAAGCGCATGAGCATGCGCTGGCATCTGATCGGCGCATCCACGAGATTTTTCGTGTTAACCAGCGGGATCAGAGGCTTGTGGTCCAGATGCAGCTCGAACGACGGCAGTCCGGACAGGAACATGTGCATTTTCTCGCACGTCCACGTCGCGGAGAGTAGTTCCTTCTCAATCTGGGCCCATCTGGTCTCTGTGTCAGTCAGGCTTCTGCTGCAGAACGCGACGGGTTTGAAGACGGAGCCGTGCTTCTGGAGAACACATCCTCCGATGCCGAAACTGCTGGCGTCGGCGCTGACCACCGTCTCTCGTGCTGGATCGTAGAACGCCAGAGCTGGAGCTGAAGTGACGGCTGCTTTCACGTCATCCAGCGCCTGCTGCTGCTGTGGTGTCCAGATCCATGCTACGTTCTTCCTCAGAAGCTCGTTCAGTGGTCTTAAGCACTCCTGGATGTGTGGAACGAACCGGCGCAGGAAGTTGATTACTCCGAGCAGAGACCTTAGTTCATTGACATTCTTTGGTGGTTGGAGCTGCTGGATCGCTTCGAGCTTCTCTTCGTCCATGCTGATGCCGTTCTTGCTGATCTTCATCCCCAAAAACTTGACCTCGTTCTTCCGGAACTCACACTTTTTCCTGTTCAGCTTGAGGCCAGACTCGTGGATCCTCCTGATGACGGCCTCGAGACGTGCATCGTGGCTGGCAGCATCTCCGAACACCACGGTGTCGTCCATGTAGACGATGACTCCGGGCAGTCCGTCCAGCATCTCCTCCATCTTCCGCTGGAAGCACTCCGGTGCGAGCGAGATCCCCATCGGCAGTCGCAGGAACCTCTTCCTGCCGAACGGAGTGATGAACGTGGTCATCTTGGAGCTCGCCTCGTCCAGCGGGATCTGGTAGAAAGTGGAGGAGGCGTCCAGCTTGGTGAAGAGCGTCGCGCCACTCAGCTTGGAGGTCAGCTGCTCCAGAGTAGGGATCGGGAACACCTGTCGCTTCACAGCCTGGTTGAGTCTCTTGTAGTCAACCGTGATGCGGACACCGCTGCTCTTCGGCTTCGGGACGGGGACCAGCGCAGAGACCCAGTCCGTTGGCTCGGTCTCCGACGTGATGATGCCGTGATGCTCCATCTTCTTCAGCTCCTCTTCCACCGGCTTCATCAGTGGCAGCGGGATATTTCTTGCAGTGGCAAGGGCGAATGGAACAGCATCTTCACGGAGCTGAATGCTGACCGGTGCTGTCTTCAGGAGACCTGCCTCTCCGAAGACGTCTTCATTGACTTCACCTGTGAATCTCAGTACGCCCAGGCGCGAGCAAGCAGACCTGGAGAGGAGATCATCAGCTGAGTCAACAACGTAGAACACTTCAGGCTCGGCTTTGTTCTTGAACAGGAGTGTTCCGTGCATCTTTCCTTCTACTTTTAGCACGCTACAAACACTTGTCAGAGTATTTGAAGCATGTTGAAGCGGCGGCAGTTTCAGCTTCTTGTACGTTTTCAGCGTCAGAATGCTAACATCAGCGCCAGAGTCAGCTTTGAAAGCGACTCGTTGACCATTTAGAAGGACTGAAACTCTCCATGGCGCGCAAGCTTTGTTTACTTCAACAAAAATGTTGGGCGGCGATAGTTGTTCAATGGACTCTGTCCGCGTACTCGCTCTGACACCGTTGGAGCGACAAACATGCGCAAAATGATCCATTTTCTGACAGTTGTCATAGATTTTTCCCTTAGCAGGACAATCTTTCGGAGACGCATGACGTGCTCTTCCACAGTATCTGCATGCTGTTGAAAAGTCGGTACGCTGACTATGCTGTTGCCGTTGCGCGGTGGAAGGCTGCTGTTGACGTCTGTACTGCTGGTGCTGCTGGCGCGGCTGCCTGTGCCGCGCCGGTGCACAAACCCTACTGATATCAGGCGGACCAGAGCTGTCACGGCCGTTCACGATCGACATTACGCATCATCGAAATGACGGTATTTGCAGACACTTCCTCCTCTAGTGACTTCAGCCGAATTCTACGGGACAGCTCCATGTCAGACATTCCTGAGATGAGACGATCTCTGATACGCTCATCAGCGTCAGCGAAGCTGCAATGCTCAGCTAGAGAGAACAAAGCTCTAATGTACGATTCATTAGTCTCGCTTGAGCTTTGAGATCTAAGCTCGAAGTTGTGACGCTCTGCAATAAAGTTCCTTTTCGGAATGAAGTACCCGTCTAGCTTTGAGACAACAACTTCAAAATCCTCCTTCTGCTCAGCAGTAAGCTTAAATATTGGTACGATATGCTCAGCCTGCGGACCCATGCTGTAAATCAACGCAGCTACTTGAACTTCACCGTCCTCTTTGTGTAGTTCCGATGCCAGTCTGTAGCGGACGAACCGATCACGCCAGGTCGGCCACCTCTCAGGCGATGTAAAGTCGAATTCCTCAGGACGAAATCCAGGCATCACGACTTGGTTCACAACTCACAATGCTTAAATTAATGTGCTGCTCATGCTTGCTTAAGCTTACTCTAGGTTCAATGCGGCTGCGCCATATTCAAGTCTACGTGTTCTGTCTGCCCAGACCAGACACGAGCGCTGCGAGACGGCAACTGTATTAACCCGCGAAGCGCGCGGGCGGCGCCGACTCCGGCGGGCGGCGCCCCAGGCAGTACACCGCCATTCGGGGCAGCGGCGTACCAAAGTGCAGCAGCACTGGCGGCGCGAGCAGGGGCGGCCTCAGGGGTACGCCAGTAACATCATGATACAGCCAATGAGGCTAATGAGGCATTAGCAAGCTAATGAGGTGGGGAATATCCGCGATCAGACCGGACGTAACGAGCCCAGTCAGCATTGCTCGGCCAATCCAGCTCGTCCCTACTTATCTTCGTGCACGGTCAGCATCAGCGCCATGCCACAAGCACGACAGATTGTTCGGAGGTGTGTATTTTTTAGTTAACCGTGGAGCGTCGGACACCGCAGTCCATTGTACTTTGCTATAAAGGCGTTATAAAGCAGCTGGGCATGAGCACAGTGCAGCCATCCCACAGTATTGACGCCCATACCATGAGGGCCCGGACACTAGGCCATGTGCACGCAGATTCACACTTAGCTTTTTACACCAGCTACTGAATTATCCGTTTCGGTGCTTTCGATAAAAAGAACACAGTACTCATTGAATGTTAGGCACAACTGCAGCCATTATGTGTCCTGGCAAGAAGGAAAATGCTGCTAACAGGACTGTGCGTCATGGCGTTAGCGAGCAGCATTCGGACGACGGCAAGTTAAGTTCGGAAAACACGGTATGAACGCATCAGGACGGAAAGTAACGTTCAACGGCTTGTACATGAACGGACGACAACGGATCATGGTACTGGTATCCACAAAACGGTCTACTGCAGCCGGGCGGCAACGAACACTACTGTGCACGCGCGGCGCTTGGTGGGGTACGGTCTGAACCATCTATCGGAGATGGCACTTTTATGGAAACTAATCGCGTTGGGTCCATGACGAATTGAGACGATCAGTAACATAGTAGAGGGCACAAAAGTTACTGACGAAACTACAGGTATTGAACGCGTGCACCATACACCGTGAACACGAGTCTTTTTATCGGTTAAAGCATAGCACGAGATGCACCTGCGCAAAACTATCTAAGCTTGCCATTAGAATACGAAACCACTACTCGGGCACGTCTACAACGCAGTGTCTTGATGTTTGTTGGTGTTCTCATGCTCCCAAGAAACTCAGCACTCCACGGTTATGACTGGATCAATTGCAGAATGCTGTACTTCGATGGAAGATTGATCTTCATTTATACTCTAGTCATTATAAAGACGTTTTTGTATGGTCACAGTCTCCATAATCATACATTTTTGGCCAACAAGAACACCAATAAACATTAAGTCTTCAGAAGCTGTTGTAACTTATCACATCCACTGGTAAAACCGCTCGAACTTAGATCCACATTCAATATCAGACAGAGACCCCCGTACTCCAGCACCACAGCTTATCACATCTGCAGACAAGACTTGAATATCACACACACTGCTCCACCTCATAACATGCAGCCTCCCTACAAAGAAAAGAAAAAAGGAACGCTTAATGTGCACCACACAACCGTAACTCATACACCACCCATTTGAGTTCCCTGAGTTGACAGCGTTTGGGGACACATTACAAGCTAGCAGCTAATAAAACGCCCATCTCCAGCTAGGTCAGTAAACAAATAAGGCACTACCGCTGCCTACAAAGGGAATGATTATTGTCATGTCATGCATAATGTAACAAATCAGATTACAAGGAGATAAGGTATGACTTTAACTACACCCTGGCAATGATGTTACTTTAAACTTAGCTCAAAAGAAAGTCCTAAGTAAACAAATGCAGACGCTATGTTGCATTTCCGAGAAACAAACATCAAACAAGGATGTGAGTAACAGAGCCTAAAAAGCCATCACACCTTCCAACCTTTGCCACAAACGCAAGCGCAACCATAATGAGCGAATCGTTCAACCACTGAGCACCGAGAGACTATCAGAGGGACACCTTGCCTGTCGGCCGTGCACCGCCGGCAGAGCTGGGACCATCCCCCTCCCTCCCGAAAGGCCACACAAGCCTCAGCAGGCAGGCCTCACTGCAAGGTCATGACACGCACGGGCCGGCAGAGCACTGATCTGCTGGTCGTCACTGGACTCCGCCCACAGCCGGGTGGGAAGGCGGCATAGTGTGACGTCACTACCGAACCACCTTCCACAGAAGAGCGATCTCACGACCGGGCCCCGCCCACAGGCGGGCAGTTCTACCAGCGGCGGCCTGTTGCCGGCCCCGCCCAAGGGCGTGCTGTTGGACACCACAGGCCCTTCTATCTCCGGCAGCCTGTTCCCGGCCCTGCTCACAGGCGGGGAGGGAGCCTCGGCTCCCACCCATAGGTGGAGGAGGGGCTCCGGCTTCAGTTCACAAGCGAGGGGGAGCCTCCAGCCGCTATCCACGGGCGGGCAGGCGGGCATCTGTTCCTGTCCGAGCGACGATCGGCGGGCTCCAGCTCTCCACGGGCTGACGGACACCACCTCACTGCCGTCCCGAGAAGAAAGTGCGCACCTCCTCCGAGATCTGCGGCAGCGTGTCCTCGTTGACGTCGACGAAGCGCTTCTGCTGGCGCGAGAAGTAGTGGATGTTGCCGGTGTAGATGTCGAACCAGAGCGCGTGGATGTGGATCTCGCCGCGCGTCAGACCGCGCTTCAAGAAGCCGTACGACGAGACGTTCTGCAGCTGCTGCAGCGTGTTTACCTGGCGGGCGCAGGGACGCGAATGGTCAGTGTACACCATGCACCCACATCCACTTACATTCAAGGTGTTTCAAGTAAAAAACACTAATGTGTGCCAATCCAGCAGCAAACACCAGGCCTAGATGCTTGTGCTTCAGTGACAGTAGCACGGCCAACGTCTCGTGCCGTGGCACATGCAGCATTCACCACCTGGTAACACCTGGTAACCACGATAGAGAGCGGCCCCCGTAAGGAAGCTGTGGCGATCACAAACGCAAGAAGATGTTCTATGATCAGTGTCGCCGTTACATATCTGGCGGGCAGGTGGGGCCTCTACGGGCGGGTGTAGAGACCCGCCACGAGCATCGCTATCATGACTATCCAGTGTGTGGTGGCCTTTCTGGCACGAGGATCCTGCGATAGGGCGCACTGGCTCGGCAGTGGCACGGGAGCGCACGCGCGCCAGCACGCACCTGAGACAGCTTGTCGGTGATGTTGAACTGGTTCTCCGGGTCGATGTAGGCCACGAAGCGGCGCATGGGCAGCTCGCCCTCGAAGACGAGCGGCGCCTTGAAGTCTGACACCTGCATCTGCATCAGCTTGGTCAGGCTGTTGGAACCGTGCCGACAGACCCAGGCGGAGAGCGGCGACATGTGCAGCTTCTCCGGCGTCGCCAGCGCAGGGTCCCGCAGGTCGTACAGCAGGTTCATCGCCTGCGAAGCGGACGCCGCATGTGTCACGCCACCGACGGTAACGGCCCAATCTGACCAGCGACAATAACGGGGGTCCCATTACGTAACGACACGGCAGTCGGACCAGAAGCAGTGACGGGATTCAGTTACGTAACGATACGGCAGCCCGACCAGCGACAGTAACGAGAGTCCAAACAGGTTCGATCACAAGCAAACCAAATGTGCAATTTATTGACTATCTTGACTTCACATATCATGACATGAAGGGACGTCTGCGTGAGAAAGGTCGTATCAGTTATCATGGCTGACATGACGCGGCTACATGGTCACTTGATCGCCGTGACGCATACACCGTGCTTCGCACGGTTTCACTCGCCCCAGCTATTCGGGCCGACCCCTATCCTGAAGGGATCGCCGCTGCGGCCCAGGTCGAGGACCAGCAGAGACTGTCAGGCAGCACCTTGCAGTCAGAGTGCCCACAGATGATGACATTTTTGATGCCATTGACGATGCAGCCCAGCTCCAGCGCCGCCGGCTCCGTAGATACCGTCTCGGTGTCATAAAGCTTCGCGTGTGGCACCAGGTTGCCGGCGTTGCGCACTGAAAGATGTCAGATGACCAGGGTTACTCACTGATGAGAATGCATGCAGGGAGTCTCACTGGGGTCCTTCCTAACTAAACTGTAGGGCAAACAGTTGTCAGCAGTACATACTGCACCAAATGGACAAACACCAGGCTTGCTCACTGACTGGCACCAGGCTGCCAGTGGCAGCTCTCTTTGATTATATGTTGGTGATTACCACATGAATAGTGTCACATGATATAGGGCAACAGGTTACCAGCCCTACGCAATGAAGGGCACCAAGTGGGCAGCAGTCCACAACAGGCAGGAATGTTTGAGACACAGAGTCACATGGTGGTGTCACTAACAAAACTAAGTACTATTACACTACAGCACACATGTGCCCAGTGGCATATCACTTAAAATCCCTTCATACTCACCTATAAACATGTCACCCACATTGGTGTATGTGAAACGAGTTGGCAGCATCCGACTATCCATGCAGGTGAAGAATATTGCTTTAGGCTGAAACACAAATTCATACCCAGCTGAACTTGACCTGGTATCAGAGATAGCATAAACACAAGTTTCAGACAGTCATTTGTAGAGCAATAGAAAATCATGCTACCTAATAGGGCTTTCAGGCATAACCAACAAAAATTGTTGTATATTCAATGGCACCTTCAGTTGACTATCTTGTATGGTAATAATATGACAACTGTGTCACAAGGAGTACACCCACAGATACCTCGCGTAAAAGAGCCCGTACTGAAACCTAAATTTACAGGAATGTTGTACAAATATAATCCTGTTGGCAAAGGAAAATATAATAAAATAATCAATAGATACACAAACTTTCCCAAAACCAAATAACACTTAAGTGTATGCAACCTGTTCTATTTGACAACTGGCTTACAATGGGATTATCCTTGACTTGCTCAAACTGCTCCACCATGCCATGTCTGAAGGTGTGTCTGTATTTCAGGATGCCCTTCAGGATCTTGTCCATTGCCTGTAATGAAACATCCAGTTGGTTATCCTTTCAGTGGGTTAACCATGACTTTTTAATTACTTCTTTTTGAAGCATTTCTGATAACAACATTTTTTTAATGCTACAAATTTGATAAAGCTATCATGATGCCTGCTTTCAAATGCAGTAGGATTCTGACCTATCTCAAGCAGAGCAGTAGGGGTATTCATTGCCATTCTGACCCATATTGAGCAGAGCAGCACAGGCCATCAGTTACAGAGTGGGACCACTAAAGCCTTGAGGACCACTAAAGCCTTTGCCCATCAAATATCATTGCCTCTTGCCCCAAACAGAGCGGAAAGCTGCTAAATTGAGCTCCATCGAGCCCCTCCCCCCTGCCCCCTCGGCTGGTCTGCCACCTTAAGCGTACACGATCCAGTCTTCTTCAAGCAATTCACCTCTTTTTTATTGGTGCGTTCGGTCGATGGCAACGTATTCAACGAATAATTACGTCTCCGCTGCCCGTCCACGAATATCCCCACCTACGCAGGGCAGGTCCGGAAATTACACCCCAGGTTCGTCTCCCATGCGCCATGTACATCTAAAATAGCAAAGGAGATGTCAGCGTAGCTTTGTTTCCAAGTCGCTAGAGGCGTTTCCTCCCGAAATATCTCACGGTGAGCCTGGAAGTTCTGACTGGATTCACCAGCAATGCTGCCAGCTTAAGAAGATGAGTGCTACTAAACGCACTGGCATGCTGCGTGACGTTGGGAAGGCAAACATGCCAAGTAGGGGCAGTTTTGGGAACCAGTCCCAGTTTGCAGGGAGGCAGGGAGGGCGGGCGAGGAGGAAGCTTCTTCAGTTCCTTAATAAACCTTGCCTACTGAAAGTTTATGCTGAACCTGAACCTGGTGCAAACATGTTCCAAACACGGGTCGGGTCAAATCGCACCAGCCTTTCAAATAATTATTGTTTCAAGAGGGTTGTGGGGCATCCATGTCTAAAATTACTCCTGAATTATTATAAATGATTGAATCATTGGCTCCCTATGCACTTACATTGGTAATCAGTGGAGCAGACAGGGGGGGGGGGAGGGGGCCGAATGCACGTGCCCCTTAGGTTTCAGAGGCCCTTCGGGCCCGTCGGCACCTTCAATTACGCACCCAATTTGAGAGCCCGAAGGGCCCTACAGGCCGACTGGAAGTTTCATTGAGGGGCCCGGGCCGCAGGCCCGGGCAGTTTAATGCCATCTAGAGGGCCCTGCGCGCTGATCAGGAGCCTTTTAAGTTGATAAGGTCGTCGTCCTATATAAGGCTCTATATGTTGGTCAGACTTCACCAAATACACACAGTTGGCTCCGTGTCCGCATGGGCCTGACGGTCCATTCCCCAAGCAGGGGCAAAGCAGAAGCCAGTGATTTACGTCATTCGGGGCTCCAGCGCCTGCTATGGGCTGACAGCACCTAACAGGGGGATCTCTGTTGGCAAAGCGGCCAGGTCGACCAGAGGAAGTGTTCGAGGATGCCCAAAGAGCCTGGAGGGCCCATCGGATCCGAAAATCAAGTACCCGATGGGATGGCTTAAGGGCATGAAGTGCTGGCCGGGTGTTATTCGGGATTTCCAGTCTTCAGGGACGGACCCTAAAATGACAGGGAGCCCTTTGCGCCGATCAGGAAACCCCAGAGCCAATATGGGCCTAGAAGTCAGTCAGGCAACACCAGTACCGCACAGTGCGTCCCGTATTGATATGGACCTGAGGGCGCACTTCGCAATCAACTACAAAGTCGGGTTAGCGATTTACACTAGTCGGGCCCCTGCATCAGTCAGGGGCCTGCAGTGCCTAACAGGGTCCAGTGTTTTCAACAGGTCCCGAGCCGACCAAAAGAAGTTTTCGATAAGGCCTGAAGAAGGGCCTGAACGGCCCAGCGGAACCGACAATCAGGGCTCGGTTGGAGGACTTTAAACCTCGAAGGACTCCCTGTAGGCTAAATAAAGAATCGCGACCCGTAGGATCGTATCCTTAATTGTCAGTCGGAGGCAGGACGGTCAAGGATCTCGCCAAGGGGGGAAGCAAGGTTGTTGGACACATATAATTTAACCCCCTCACCCAAAAAAATCTTCAGAGTCCGGCCATCGAATTTTAAGATTCTTAGCATGCTATTTTTTATACCGAAACCCATCTTGCTGTTCGCATCCCCAGCAAACCTGGCATGCTACGTATGTGCATACGTGAAGCTCATTGACTTTCTCCAGATCATGGCGAATCCTGTCATTTTAAGGCTAAGTTTTTTCGGAAAGAAGTTGGCAAAATAAGCTAACGTTGGTTGCTACATACCAATACAATCAAGAGCTTGAACCCTAGCACATTTACAGCTAGCCGGCTGGTCCATGTGACGAGTTGATGACTGATGACAACTGCCGAGTTCCTGCTTTGTTTGTTATGAAGGAGTACAAAATATCCTAGCATTGAAAAATACCATATGAAATGGATAAGAATGTGATGCATAAGTATAATAAGTGTCACAAATTTAACAACCAACAGAAATGTCACACGACGCCGACACCGGCACGTAAGATTTTGCTCGACCGTTACGCGTGAAAATTCATCGGCGCATATCCCGCTGCTGCTCTCAGACTAAGGCACCAAGGCCAGCAATGACGAAACCTGAGCGATCATGAATGCCGCGGCAGGCCAAAAAAGGCTTCCGTTAACAACCACGGGGTCCTGAGGGCAAGTGAGAAGAACCCAAGAGCAACATGATAGGCTGCTGTACGATCGGGAGTGCCCCAGCAGGCTGACATATAGGACCCGGCCAGGGCAAAGGGCCATTTGTATAAAGGGCTGGTGTCCGTGTGCGTATCCAAGACCAGTGTGCGTGAGTGAATGCCCCTGTGCGATAAAAAGCGTTCGGGCAGGTTGACGGAAAAGGCCGCGAAGGGAGTGACGGGTCCTCCGCAATCGACCTCAAAGCGAAAGAGCCCTAGGCCACTGCAGAGGGCCACTGAGCATCGAGTGACGCAGCGCCTTATCTTATATTGGCCCCAGCAGCAGCACAAGGCCCTTCGAGGAAATAGAAAGAACCCGAAACTTAGGATACCGCATCCAAATAATCAATACCCACGACACAACGTGAAGGGCCCAAACGATCGAGTGCACCCGACCAGGTTAACAAATGTGGCCCGACAAGTGCGTGGGACCCTCCATCCAAATAGGAAGTACTAAAGACCCATTTTAGATGACCCCTGAACGGTCGAGTGTGCCCTAGCAGGGTACCACATGGAGAAACCCAGAAGGAGCATAGGGCCCTCCATTCAAATGAGAAATACCCACGGCACAATGTAGAGGACACTTGAACGATCGAGTGGGCCAGAGCAGGCTATGAGAAGGAGCCCCAACAAGAGCGTAAGGCCCTCCATACAAATAAAAAGTACCAAGACCTGGTGTAGAGGGCCCTGAAAGATCGAGTGTACACGTACAGGCTATCTCATGACCCCTGACAGGGGCGAAAAGCCCTACATTCACACGCCAATGCACAAAGTTCAGGGCCCTTCAACAATCCAGCGTGCCTGGTGAACAGGTGCCAGGTGAACGGATGGGGCCCCCGGCAATTCCGTAGGGCTCTCTATTCCAATAACGAGTACTTAGGACACAGTGTGGAGGGCCCGAACGATCAAGTATGCCCCGGCAGCGTAAAAGATGGGGGGGGGGGGCCGACAAGAGGATAGGGCTCTCCATTCAGATGAGAAATACCCACGGCACAATGTAGAGGACCCCCAACGATTGCGTGGGCCAGAGCAGAATAAAAGATAGGACCCCCACAAGGGCGCAGGGCTCTCCATTAAAAAAGAAAGCATCCAAGGCCCAAGACCCGACGAAAGAGGCCCCCCGAACGATCGAGTGCGCCCGAGCGGGTTATCAGATGGGGACCTGACAAGAGTGTAGGGCCCTCCATTCAAATAAGAAATACCCAACACTCAGTGTGGAGGGCCCCTGAACGATCGAGTGTGCCCAAGCAGGCCATCAGATGGGCCCTAACGGGAACGTAAAGCCCTGCATTCAGATACCAAAACCCAATGTGCAGGGCCCCCGAACAATCTAGTGCATCCAAGCAGGTTAACGGATAGGGCCCCCACAAGTGCATAGAGCACTCCATTCAAATAGAAAGCTCTCAAGACCTGATTTGGAGGCCCCTAAACGACCGAATCAGCCCAGGTAGGTTAACAGATGGGCCCCAGACAAGAGAGTAGGGCCCTAAGCAAGTGTCGGAAAATTGGCAGGGCCCTAGACAAATATAGAGGGCCCATGAGCACATCTTGAGTGTGCTGGTAGCTTAACTGTGACCAACATGAAGGGCCCCTGAGCAGCCGATAATACTCCGGCATGTCAACATATCGGGCCCTCGGCTCTGGCGTATAGAGCGTTTCAGGCGAATGTTAAGAATTCATGGCAGGCCCATAACTGAAAAAGAGTGCCCCGACACGCTGGCGAGAAGGGCCCATCAACAGTGCAGGGCCCTGCGAGCAAAAGCAAAGAAATGAAAAGCAACGTAAAATAGGGGCCCACAAACAGCGTAGGGCCTCTGGATAGCGTAAGCAGTCTTAAGATCTCCAAATCACCACCCTCTCATTCAGTGAAAAATGATTGTTTGCTAGAGGGCCGGTAACTTCCGCTTAGACTGTTATTGGTCGCCTGGAAGTCCAAAGACGAACCGATTTCGCTATGTTCTGTGTCCAAAAACTGCGTCCATTCTGCCAGCTATGGTCGCCCTCAGAGCAAAGGGCTCCCCCCCCCCTCGGGGCCCAAAGGGCGTGACCCCCTCCCCCTCTGGGTCCGCCTATCGTCAGAGGTCCTCTTGCACCGTTTGATGACACCTTGTCATAATGTAAGTGTCTCGGTCGGCCAGATACCACGGGCACCAAACAGTTGGCTCTCTGTCAGTCTGAACCCTAGGGGCCCATTTCATTAGACTACAGTTCCTTGCACTGTAGTCTGTGGAGGACCCATTCTGGCCAGCAGAGGGCTTATTATTGACTGTGGAGGGCCAATTTTGGCCCGCGGGGGACCCATTGTGACCTGAAGAAGAGTCATTGTTGGCTGCGGAGGGCCCATTCCGGCCTGCAGAGGGCCCATTACAAGCTGTGTGGAGCACATTTAAGTCTGTAAGGGGCGGGCCATTCTGACCTGTAGAGGGCCCATTCTAACATGCAGAGAACATATTATCGACTATGGAGGGTCCATGCCAGCCTGTAGAAGGGTTCATTCAGGTCTGCAGA